TCTTTGTGAAAGACTGCCCTCCTCACTCTACACCATCACCTGTGCCCTAAGTCAAGTGTCTATATACTTATAGCTCTGTTCTGGGATTGCTGTTCTGTTTCATAGGTCTATTGATCTATCCTGTGTCAATACCATGTCTTGACTACAGTAGCTTCATAACAAGTCTTGGACCAGATAAAAGCAAGTCTTCCCACCTTGTTTTTCTTCATGAGTGAGTTTTGGAAAGTTCTCAGTCATTACCTCTTTGTTTCTGCCCTTAATCTCACTCTCCAAATATACAGATGGTAGATCTCACCATAGCCTCTACATTTCTGTATCAACCAGGATAGACTAGGATGTTGATATGGTTTGGATCTGTGTCCCCACCCAAATCTCATGTCGAATTGTAATCCTCAGTGTTGGAGGAGGGGCCTGGGAGGAGGTGATTGGATCATGGAGGCTGATTTCCCCATGGTCTTCTCATGATAGTGAGTTCTCATGAGATCTGGTTGTTTAGAAGTGTGTAGCGCCTCCCCCTGCTCTCTCTTCCTTCTTCTCTAGTCATGTAAAATGTGCCTGCTTCCCCTTGGCCTTCTGCCATGAATGTAAGTTTCCTGAGGTCTCCCTAGCCACATTTCCTGTACAGCCTGCAGAACGATGAGCCAATTAAACCTCTTTTCTTTATAAATTACCCAGTCTCAGGTAGTTCTTTTTTGGCCATGTGAGAATGGACTAATACAGATGTGCTGTGGAACATGCAGTCTCCAAATCTCAATGTCATAAAACAAAATGAGTTTATTTTTTACTTATGCTACATGTCCATTGAGGGATAACAGGGGGCTTCTGCTAATTGTAGTCTTTCAGGGACCCAGGCTGACAGAGCAACCACCATCTTGAATATTGCTGGTCAGTATACCAGAGGGAAAGAGCTGAGGAGGGTCTAGCACAAACACTTCTACTTATAGCTCATTGGTCAGATCTAGTCATTTGGCTCCACCGAAACCACAAATTGGTCAGGAAGTTTAATCCTATCCTATGTCTAGATGGTGGAAGGATGGACATGTTTGATGATCAGCACTAATAACTACCACAGTTTTTTACCCTTTTCTATATTTCCCATCCTTTTGTTTGAGTTTATTCTGGATATTTTCTTGTGACATGTCTTTCAGTTTACTAATTCTTTCTTCAGCTGCATCTAGCTAGTTATTAAATCCATGCACTTCGTTCTTAATTTTGGTTATTTTAATTTTCATGTCTAAAATTATATTTGGTTCCAGCTCTCTGCTAAAATTCTCAATGTAGTCTCTCTCTTTGAGCACAGTAAATATAGCTGTTTGAAAATCTGTAGCTAACTCTAATATCCTGATCCCTCATGGAGCTATTTCTATCATCTGTAGTTTCTGCAGATTTTTGTTTATATTGTCTTGTATTTTCCTGTGCCTTTTTATTGTATCTTTTTTTTTTTTTTTTTTTTTTTTTGAGACAGAGTCTTCCTCTGTCACCCAGGCTGTAGTGCAGTGGCATGATCTCAGCTCACTGCAACCTCTGCCTCTCAGGTTCAAGCAATTCTCATGCCTCAGCCTCCTGAGTAGCTGGTACTACCAGTGTGCAGCACCACATTAGCTCATTTTTGTATTTTCAGTAGAGATGGGGTTTTGCCATGTTGGCTAGGCTGGTCTTGAACTCCTGACCTCAAGTGATCTGCCCATCTCAGCTTCCCAAAGTGCTGAGATTATAGGCGTGAGCTACCAGACCCAGTCTTTTTTACTTTTTATTTTCTTTGAGACAGGGTCTCGCTCTGTCACTCAGGCTGGAGTGCAGTGGTGTGATCACAGTTAACTGCAGCCTTGACCCCCTGGGCTCAAGTGATCCTCCTGCCCCAGCTTCCCAAGTAGCTAAGACTACAGGCTTGAGCCACCACGCCCAGCTATTTTTTTTTTTCTCTGACACAGAGTCTTGCTCTGTCACCCAGGCTGGAATGCAGTGGCATGATCTCAGCTCACTGCAACCTCTGCCTCCCAGGTTCAAGCAATTCTCCTGCCTCAGCCTCCCAATTAACTGGGATTATAGGCACGCACCACCACACCTGGCTAATTTTTGTATTTTTAGTAGAGATAGGGTTTCACCACGTTGGCCAGGCTGGTCTCAAACTTCTGACCTTGTGATCTATCTGCCCACCTCGGCCTTCCAAAGTGCTGGGATCGCAGGCGTGAGCTACCGCGCCTGGCCTAATTTTTTTTATTTGTTTGTAGAGACTGGATTTTGCCATGTTGCCCAGGCTGGTCTTGAACTTCTGGGCTCAAGCAATCTGCATGCCTCGGCCTCCCAAAGTGCTGGGATTACAGGCATGAGTCACCTTGCCTGGCCATGTCATATGTTTTATTGGTAGGAATAATTTGAAGCCTAGAAAGGTATTTTTCACTCTTTTTTCACTGAGGATTTAGCTTTTGCCATGTATTGGGGGTACCAAAAGTCTGGAGTCACTTCACCAACTTCAGGGATTAAGAGGATTTGAAGCTAAGCTGAAGTCAGCCTTACTCTGAGGTTACTGTCCTTAGGATCCCAAAGTGAGGATTAAATGTGCATATTCATAAACTCCTTCACTCACACACCCACATGTTTATATTTGCAAATTTATATTTACAAATATAGACAGAGTCATTGATAAATGAATGTGCAGAGGAATGTCCATAAGTGAATATGTCTCTATAGTCATCTCTCCTATTTATTTAGCCATTTATCTGTCCAAACAATCAGGTGTACGCTAATCTATGAATTAACTCATCCGTTCATTATTAGCCCAGCCACTGGACCAACTGACAGAAGACCTGAGCTGGGCACTCTTCTAGGTACTTAGGGCACATCCTTGAACAAAACAAAGTCCCTTCTGTCACAACTCATAGTGCAGTGGAGATACCAGGCTACCAGAGCGGGCAGGGCTGGGCTGGAATTTTAAGAAAGGTGGCCAAGGTGGGCTTTGCTGAGAAGGTGACGTACAAGGGAAAACTTAGAGGGGAGGGAATGAGGGCTGTGAACATCTGAGGAGCTTCCAGACAGGAAGACTGGCCAGTGTAAGATCCTGGGGGACAAGGAAGGAGCCCCTCTGGCTGCCGGGGAACGAGGCACAGAGGCTGGAGGATTTGGGGGCTGATGGAGGAAGACAGGACCAGGAGAGGGCAGCAGCACGCAGTGAGCTTTATTCTGGCCGCACTTGGACAGGTTTTCACAGAGAGCTTGGCACCTACGGGAAACTGCTCAGAAGCGGGACGGGGCACCAGAGAGTTCCAGAAGGCAGCCCAGCCTGAAGGTTTTTGTAGCCCCAGGGTCTGTCTCACCCACCACTGGCAGATACGGGTTCCGTTTTGCAGGGTATGCAAAGAAGCAGGGTCTAAATGTCTAGAAATATGCATATTTGGGCTCTATTTAAAGCAAACGTCTGTGTAAAATTTTGATTTTGGCCCTGGTGGGCTTTGAACTTTTGGTCCTAGCTGCTGGGAAGCAGATAGCACAGGGCCGGTCCTCAGGCTGTTGTCAGCCTGTGGATCCATCAGGTGGCCGTGGAGGTGAGTTTACCACGTGTCTGCATGTCCCTGGCCCCCCGCAGACCTGCAGGCCCCCTATACTGCCCCTTCTCTCCATCTCTGCTCCCTGCATCTGTAGACAAATGCTTAAGTCGGCACCAGCTCGGCCAGGATGGTGGTTACCCGAGGCCACGCCGCGCCACCGCTTCTCTCGTTCTTGTCTGCTCTGTCCCCCTCCCTCCCACACTTTTGTGAGTTCTTCCCGGTTCTGCCCACATTCAGTCTCCCTGGCTGCACTTGTCTGCGGCCAGTCTCCCTGGAAGAGCTACAGGGAACTCATCCTTCCCCACCCCTTTCCCCTCATCCTGGCTTCATCCTTCCCACGCCATGAACCCCTTGCTCTATGGGAACGCCGACCGCTCACCTGCCCACCCCTAATGTAGTGCTTCTGCCTGCTCCGTGGCCCGTGTCTGTCCACCTCCACCTGGCCCCGTCGCCAGGCCTGCCACACCCTCTCGGTCTGTTCTTGGTTGTGGCACCCACCTTCAGCCACCTGCTCTCCTTCTCCTAGGCCTCTGCTCTCCAGTCAGCAGCTCCTCGGGCCCCAACTGTTTCCCAGGCCTGATTCCGAGTACAGGAGTCTCCCTGCCCCACCTGGCCCTTCTCAGCCACTGCTTTGCCTCCTTCCGCTGTCATCCAGCCATTAGGGAGCTGGCCACACTAGACAGCAGGCCCTGGTCACCCTGCCTTCCCAGAGCAGGATGGGGCAAGTGGCATTCACACACGGAAACACCCATGCACAGCTTCCTGGTCAAGGGTGACGCTGGGACTGGCCCGCCACCAGGTGCATGTGGACCTGCTCTGAGCTCCTGCTCTTCCTTCCTCCTCACTGCGACCCCTCCAAGCATCACCCCTGCTCCACAGACAAGGAGGCCCAGGCACAGGAAGTCAGGGACTCACCCAGGGCAGCTGGGCTTTGAGCTCGGCTCTCTGCACCCACTCCTTGCTCCTAGAGTGCTGGAGACTCAGGAGGGTGAGAGGCAGCGGCAGTCCCAAGGGTTGTGTCCTGCAGGCAGAGATCTACGGGAGACCACAGAGGAGGGAGCTCCAGAGTGCGTGTCCTGCGGGCCAGCCTCCTACTCAGAAAGCAGCAGTGGCAGCCGAGGCCTCAGGCGTGTACTTGAGTCTGGCAGAGGCAGGAAGCCTGGGCCAGGTCCTGGGGGAGTGAAGGGGAAGGAAGCCTTTGGAAACCCAGCCACAGAAGCAGGTTCCTGCTTGGACTTGGTCAGGAAGCCCAGGAGAATTCCGGGCGGTCTGGGCTTTGGGGACAGCAGCACCACAGTGGCTCATGCTTTGGGGCCCACCATGCACCAGCTGTGAGCACTGAGGCCGTTCTGCACAATGGCGCCCTTTCTCCCAAATGGGAGGCAGCCGTTCCTCTCCAGGCTGAGGAGACTCCGAACAAGCACCGAGTGTCCGACAAACGCCGTCTGTCACTAGGTGGCCTCGCTGGACGCCGCGGCAAGCGTGCTGCACTCGTGGGACCTGAGCCTCACGGAGGCCATGCTCCGGAACATGGAGGCAGAGCAGCAGCGCCGGGCCCAGGAGGCCCAGAGGCACAAGGAGGCTGAGGCCAAGCGTTGTGGCAGGCAGGAGGGATGTGGGAGGTGCTGGTGAGGGGCGCTGGCGGGGAGCACGGGCAGGGAGCACGGACAGGGGGTGCTGGCAAGGGGCGCTGGCAGGGAGCGTGGGCAGCGTGGGCAGGGCGTGCTGGTGGGGGGGCTGGTGGCGCTGGCAGGGAGCGTGGGCAGGGGGTGCTGGTGGGGGCGCTGGCGGAAGCCTCTGCCCCAGCTCATTCCCGCTCCCTAGCATGACCCTCAAGGTCCAACAGCTGGCCAGGGAGCAGCAGCAGTGTCACAAGGAGGTGAGTGTGTCCTCAGGGAGGAGCCAGAAAAGAAGGGAGAGCCGAGTGGGGAGGAGGAGGAGCCGAAGGAGGGCCAGGAAGCTGGGGGAAGAGCTAGGAGGGGAGGTGCCCTCAGGCCCCTGGGCCAGGAGTGACCTGGTCGGAGGGTACTGGCCGGCCTTGCCAGGGCCAGCCTTGCCAGGGCCTGCCCGTACACCCACCCAGTTGCAACAGGCGTACTGTGAGCTGAGCCGGAGGATCACAGAGCACGATCAGTGTGAGTGGAGGTGCGTGGACAAGACCAAGCTCACGCTGCAGGTGGGAGCCCATGGTGGACTTGCTGTGCCCCTGCACCCTCACCCCCTCTCCTTGTTCCACACCAGCCCAGGCCCTCCTCCCCCGCCAGGCCTGGAGTTTTTCCCTCTTAAACATGGGGAGTCACCAGTCAACAGTGGCCTCCTTGAGGTGGGGTGGGGAGGAGGCTCAGGCAGGTACCCTCTCCAGCCAGAGCGTGCGACGATCAGTGTGGCCCCCTTCTCCAGGCCATCAAGGACGCAGAGGCCCAGGTGGACAGGCTGCGGCAGGAGGCCCAGAAGGCCGAGGAGGCGCTGGTTATGGCCAGGCTGGAGCTGCGGGAGCAGACGCAGGAAGGTGGGCCTGGCATGGGGCACTGGCTGGGGGCTGGGAGATATGGCCCAGGGCGGGGTCCAGCATTGGGCTTGCCTGTCAGCTGCACTCTGCTACCCCGACAGGGGAGGAAGAGGCGCCCGGGCTGAAGTGCCAGGTCACCGAGCTGCATGACGTGCTGATGAAAGATGTGGGCAACCGCATCCGCGCCGACGGCCGGTCAGTGCTCCGGGCCAGATGTGGGCGATTTGGGGTTTGGACAGACAACAGTGACTCGATGGGTGTCCCCAGGTGGCCTCTTGTCATTGACCCTTCGGGCCAGGCAGCCACCTTCCTGCGCTACCAGGACACCAACTATGTGGACACAGTGAACCCGGAGCACCTGAAGCCGGAGAGGCTGCGGCTGGCTCTCCTGGGGGCTCTGCGGTGACGCGGGCAGGGTCAGGTACACCCCCCCCACCCCCAGCCCCACCCCAGCCTCACCAGCCTCATGGGGCAGGTATGGGAAGCCGCTGGTGTTCGACCTGCGTGAGGCAGACCTGTTCCCAGCCGTGCAGCGGCAGCTGGAGGCGGTGCAGCCTGGCCTGGCGCAGGCACTGCTGAGCCGCGGCCTGCTGGAGCAGGAGAGGTACCTGTCGCTGCTGCGGCCCACGGATGGGCCAGAGTATAGCCCCACGCAGTTCCAGGAGCAGCGCCTGGGGCACTTCCGCCTCTTTTTCGTCACCAAGGTCCAGTGGCCGCCAGCCGAGCAGCTGCAGGTGCTGCTCCCGGTGCGTGTGCAGCTGCCGGGCACAGGCCTCTAGTGCTAGCCCCAATAAAGCGTGTGCCCCAGGGCGCGGTGTGGCATCTGTGCTTTGTGCATGAGGGGCAGCGGCGGTGTGAGAGTCCAGGGCCCCGGCTGTCCCGGGCCTCGGCTGTCCCGACCCCGGCTGTCCCGAGCCCCGGCTGTCCCGACCCCGGCTGTCCCGACCCCGGCTGTCCCGGCCCCGGCTGTCCCGGGCCCCGGCTGGCAGACACAGGTTTGCAGGCACTGGGGGAGGCCCTGCTGGGGATGGGCAGCCCGCCCGGCCCAACCTGTGCGCAGTGAGGCGCAACGGAGACGTGGGAGGGAGGGGAAGGTGCAGCCCTCGGAACTCAGCCCGGCCTCGGAGGGCAGGAAGGGTCTGTGCTAGTGGGCGGGGGGGTGGACAGGCAGACGGGAGGTAAAATGTAGTCAACTTTATTCTCCTTAAACCACAAAATAGAGTCTTTGGTTGTACAAACATCACTAGTTACAGTCTCGCCGAGGTCTCGGCTGGGGTGGGGCAGTTAGTCAGAGGCCAGAATTCCTGCGGGGTCTCTTTAAAATGCTAACACCCAGGTTAAAAGACTTGGGGCAAGGGTGGTGCTGGAGCTGGCAGGGCCCCCACCCCAAGTCTGGGGGAGGCGCCTGCTCCTCTAGGAGGGCACAGGGCCCAGGCCACGGCGCCCAGGCCTTATGGGGCGACGGCTGCTGCAGAGCGCCACATCTTCAGGGCCCACGGCGCCAGGAGCGGGCCTGCCTAGAAGCACCAGAGCCACTTCTCCATCCTCCTCCTGTGGGCCTGGCGGGCAGGGACAGGCGGGCAGTGAGCTGAGGGCAGCTGGGCTCCTGGGAGTTCACCCAGCCCGGCCCCAACTCACCAGGGCTGGGAGATGGTTCCAGGGACCTCAACTCCTCAGCAAAGTCCGGCGACTGTGATGGGGAGAGTGTTGATCAGGCCGGCGCCACCCCTGCCCCAAACCACCCACATGTGGGCTCCCAGCCCTGAGGCCCACAGAGCCCGGCTGAAGGGGGGAGGGGGATGGAGAAGCAGGGCCACGGCAGAACGCGGGGAGGCCCTGCGGGAGCGGATGGAGGCGGTGGCAGGCACGGACGGGGTGGCAGGCATGCAGAGGCCTGGAGGCCAGGTACCTGGATGTCATAGACAGGTCTGGAAGAAGGCAGGGCTGCAAAGGCCCTGTAGTCAAACTTCTTTCCAGACAAGGGCTTGAAAGGACAGCGTGAGGGGAGAGGCAGAGAGTGAGAGGAAGAGGGGGTGAGGGCCACGGGGGTGGGGGCAGGCCAGACCCCCCCCATGCCTTGGGGGTGAAGGGAGGGCATAGCCACCGGCTCCTCACCAGGCGTCCCGGGGAGGTGCTGGTCTGGGGGCCGAGGTCTAGGGGGACAAGAAGCAGGTGTTGGAAGCAGCCCAAGCAGCAGGCTGACCCCCCGCACCTGCCCTTACCCACGGACCTTCCAAAGGGGTGGGCGACGGGGTGGGTGCAGGGGAAGGGGCCTCGGCCAGTCGCTCCAGGGGCCCCCGCACGCCCCGGCCCTCCTGGGACCTGCTGAGGACCATCTGTGCTCGGAGAGCGTCCTGTTCCAGCGACTTCATCCTGCAGAGAACAGCGGGCAGGGGTGACTCGGGGCAGGAGCAGGGAAAGACGGCAGGGCGGGGTGGGGACCCCAGGCGGGGCTTACCTGGCTGCCCTCCACAGCGCACGCTTCTCAGCCTCCAGGGCCCGGCGTTCGGCAGGGGACAGGGCACGCTCGGGTGCTGGTGGCTCCGGACTCTGCACGCGCAGCCGTTCTTGGTGGCGCCGCTCAGCTTTGGCCGTCCGCACCGGGGCGCCGCTTCCCAGGGGTGGGGGGGACGCTGGGCTCTGCCTGGGGAAGGGACAGAACGTGCTGTGTGTGTGGGGGGCACGTGGGGTGAGTTGGGGGCATCTGGTGGGCGGGTGCTCACCTTGAGGAGGGGCTCGGGCCAGCCCAAGGTGGCTCCTCATCCTCCTGCTCCTCCTCGCCCAGCACCTCCCCGTCCAGGGCGAGCCTCGCTTCGGCCCCAGCCTCTGCCACCTCCCGCAGCATCTTCGCTCTCTTCTGCTGTAGTTTTCTGGCTGCCCGAGGGCAGGGTGTGTCAGCCCGGGCCAGCCTAGACCCGCCCCCACCCCACTTCCATGCCCCTCACCTTCCTCCTCCTGCATCTTCCGCAGGTCGTCAGCACCCACCAGGGACACACGCTTAGGAGGGCCCTCAGCTTGGGGCACGCGCACCTCCAGCTCAAAGTACTTCTGCCGCTCCCGGAAGGACAGTTGCTCTGGGGAGGCTGCAGGTCCAGGTGTGGGGGGCTGGGGGGAGCGAACCTTGAGGTTTGGCTGGCATTCCTCCGGGACACTGGGGCCTGAGCACCCACCCCAACCATGCGCAGCAGGGAGGAGTGCTGCTCCCACACACCTGGGCGAGGGCGTCCTCAGGAGGGTGAGAAGTGGGCACAGCCGCGAAGGCCCTGTAGGCCTGCTTCACATTGGCGGGCAGCTCATCCGGGGAAGGCGGGGAAGGCGGGGAAGGCGGCTGGGGGGTGGGGCTCCTGTGAGCTACGCTGGGGCAGCTGTCAGGGCTGCAGCTGTGCTCAACTCGCCACTGGCTGTCCCCACTGCCTGCCTTTGATCCCCACCCACCATCCTGCTAGGGAAGGAGGCTCTGCCACCCCCACCCATGGGACAGAGCACTCACGGAGTGGGGACAACCTCTGCCCCTGAGGGCTGGGGAGCCCCTTGGCCACGCCTGAGCCAATGGCTGGATCACCCCTGGTTTTGTCTAAAAAAGGCAGGTGGCGGTGGCGGGGGAAGAGGAGAGCAGGATCAGGGGTACAAGGCAAGGAATGGGGGTAGACAAGGGGAGGGAGAGAGGGGGAGAGGGGGAGGGGGGGAGAGAGAGGCAGTGGGGGAGGGGGAGGGAGGGGGGGAGGAGAGAGAGAGAGAAAGAGAGAGAGGAGACCTGGGTGGGGCTGACATCTTGCCTGTGAGGGGCTGAGCTGGGTCTCATGGGTGCTGCCACCTCCACTCTCACGTGGCAGTGTGTTGGGGGAGGTGCCAATAGTGGGGGGGGCAAGGACTCCCAGACAAAAGGCAGGAAGGGGTGCGGCAGGTGGGTCCTGGGAGGCGTTGGGCCCAAGACACTGACCGGGGTCTCAGGAGCTTAAGCCCCTCCAAGAACAGCACGCTCAGGCCCCCCACCCCATCACCAGGCAGCTCTGGCCAGGAAAGTGTCCCTGGCTGTCCTCACACAGGAGGCCCCATGGTAGCAGAGGGAAGACCAGAGTCAATGGCACCCCACGCCAGCCCCTGACCCCGTCCCTGGAAGAGGGGCCCTGTGCACAGCAGCCATCTGCTCTGCCCTCCACCCGCCATGGGGTGCGCCCGTTAACCTGGGACACTCACCTGCTGGCCACTAGGGGAGCAGGGGGCTTCGGCCATCTTCGCTCCAGCTGCTCCAGATGGTACCTGGAGAAGTAGGCAGTGGGTGGGGTGAGGCTGGGCAGGGCTGTGGTCCCGGAGGAGGAGGGACTGGGGGGGCCTGGAGCTTGCCTGGAAGGCACAGAAGCCCTTCAGTTCCCCAACCTGACTATAGCCCAGGCGACGCCCCAGACACTCGGTCAGCAAGGAGGGGCTCGTTCCCGTCCCCACAGGATGTGGGGGCCTGGGCTGGGCAGCTGCCGTCTCCACGGCAGTGTGCTGGCTGGAGCTTTGCAGGAGAGATGGGCGCGGACAGGACAGCCGGAGGAGAGAGCAGGGAGGGCTCAGGGGAGGGGCCGGGGACAGAGATGCCGGTGGGGAGCCCCTACTTGCAGTGTGAGGCCCTCAGGGTTCAAGTGGCACCCTGACCGCTGCCCCCATGGCTGTGCTGTTGTTCATGAGGATGAAGGGCCTCCTGGGAGCCTCCCTCTCAGCGTAGTCCATGGCCAGAGGAGGCAGGGTCGGGTCCCAAGAGCCCCTGAATGGCCTGCCTGAGCCCCAGACGCTGCCTGGCCCCTCACTACCACTCCACCGCTTGGCCAGGGTCTGGCGGAGCCCATCCCTCAGTCACTCACATTTGGTGGGCTGGCGGGGCACACCCTCTGGGAGGGTTATTTGTATCTTTAAGGGGAGGGAAGGGCCTGCATATCCTCCTGCCTGTCCCCAGCACCTGCCCCTCCAGCTGCTCCAGCCCGTCCTCCCCTTGGTGCCATGTGCCTGCCCAATCCCCCAGGAGCCTCCGCCTCCAGCCAGCAGGTGAAGCTCTCACGCTGCCACCCCGGCCTGCTCGGTGACTACAAGAAGGTCCTCGGCCTATGTCACCCATCCGCAGCTCAGCGTGTGGGTGGGGCAGCACCAACATGGCTTGGATCAAGAATGAGGGTGACAAGCACGTGACAGGCTGGGGTAGCCTGCAGGTCAGACGTGGCCTCCTCCCATCCCAGCCCCCCCCCAAAGCTTCCCTCCCCAACGGCCCTGGCGTTCGTCCTGCGGTGGCTGATGAACAGGACAACAGGACGGAGGTGGGGGGCACTGCACACTGGGCACTGACCCTCTGCATGCCACCAGCGCTGGGCACGGCAGCCAGGGCACGGTAGTCCAGCTTCAGGGGCTGCAGACCCCGACCCTGGGGGCAGAGTGGACACAGCACTAGCAGGAGCAGCTCCATGGCGGCACCCGGCCAGCACAGGGCATGAGAGGGAGTCCTCGGGGTTACTACCCAGCACCCCACAGGCAATGTGCACCCCGCTCCAGTGCCCTGATGGGAGGGGGCGGGGCAACCACACTCACCGTGGCTTCTGTGGCCTCGGGCCCCCAGTGCAGGGTCTGTCCAGGTGGCTCCTTCTCCTGTGAGCAGAGCAGACCCGTCAGGCACCACCGGCCTTGGGCTCCCTGGCCCTGGGGCTGCCAGCTGCAGGCACCTCTGACCTTGCCTGGGCCCTCAGGGCTCAGCTCCCGGTCGATGGAAGAGATGCTCTCCAGGCTGTTCCGGTGGCTGATGCCCGCC